ATAGGCGTTGGGAGGCTCGGGGAAAGATGCACGCTGTGGTTCTACCACACTCCGTGGACACTTCGGGGCTTGCTCACTTCTGGCTCCATTTGTCTCTTACTAATTCTGTAATTCTCCAGAAACATTCATTTCACTGCAGTCTCAATTTACTGTCCGTATTTACAGCGTGGAAGCGAAAACCTCCAGCCAGGGAGCTCTGCCAGCGGGCGCTGCTTAACCCTGGCTGCTCTGCTCCAAGAGGCACTGCCGCACGGAAGGACGGGCTATGATGGGCTGCTGCGAGCATTGACGGCCCGCTGGCTTCGAGAGGAGCATCTGCGCGGCAGCGTTCAGTTTCGCTGGAGTTAGAGCCGGTGCAGTCTAGCCATAATGAGCACTCAAATCATATTTTCAAGTTTAATAGAATTACTCCTGATTTACATTGCTCTAATTGCTCTAAATCAGTAGGCACCCTTTGCCTACAGCACAGCAGTACAGCTGCAGCGGAAGTGGATGAAGTATAAGAATATCTACCTTTTATTAGAAGCCAGCATTGATTTAATTTATCTGAGGCAAATAACTAGATGAAATAATTGGCTGCAGTTTAACTGTCTTGTGTCTGAAAGTGATGTCTGAGTCCGATAGACCAAAACCGATCTTTTAGTTTGACATCTTTTTAAAAGTCTGTTAAAAAAATTCTAGGAAAAAATAAGACATTTTCTTTCACATACTTTTGAGGAATAAATTACAAAGACATCTATAGAATTTTATGTGTACACATTTATACCTGGCACAGAGATTATATCACCTTCTGAAACGAAATATTTGTGCAGCTGCTGTAATAACCTTGTCTCTCTTGAGTGACAAAAGGAAGCGAAACCGTAAGTCAAAGCTTAGCTCATTGCAAGGTGTGAAAATAATATGTGACTCATACACTAAACAAGATAAATTTTTAATACCTTATTTGTTGGTTGTATTTTATGAATGGTGAGTATTTGATTCTCCTGACGAGCGTTTTTGAAGTGTAACATGCAATGTGTCTCTTGGAAATCCTTTCACAGACTGACAAGTAGTGCTCACTTTCCCTTTAAAGAGGCATCGCTGTGCAGTGCTGCTTGAAATGCAGCCAGAGAGGAGGTTTCCATGCCTGATGTATTTTCTCTTTGTGATCATTCCTTAGCAAAGAGATTTCACACCAAAATAAAGAATATATACCTAGATTGCAAAGGACAGTATTCGTGTTGGGAGCCTCCCATAATTCAGGAGGCGAAGTGCAGAGAAGACAGGGAATAGGTAGGAAGGGTCTTTATCTACAAATTCCTGCCTGCCTTGGCACGGTCCAAACCAAGGACAGCCGCAGACAGAAGCGTGGTTTCCTTTCTCTTGCTTTCTGCAAGATCACTCCCCGTGGCTTTTTGGCAGTGCAGTAGTATTCCGTTCTGACCGTGTTCCTTTGGAAAATGTGGGAGAAGGGGGATTGTGAGGACACTGTCTACTTCTCTGCTCGCTTACTTGTCCTTGCCACCCCCAGACCCATTTGTGTCTGTTCACCAATGTCAGGGAAGTTTGGCAGTGAAATTACAATTGCAAAGATGGTGTTCTTGTAAGTTTGGATAGATTGCAATATAAGCTTATCCTTTAGAAGAGATGAAGAATCTAATTTAGATTAATTTGCCCCAATCACAAGAGATGTTTTGGAGCTTAGAACTTAATGGGCGTGCAAGTCAACTACCTGGAGGCACAGCTGGGTGGAAAATCATGCTTCTCTTTGTAGAGTTGCTTGTTTCTTACTACAGACGACTTCTATCTTTAGTTTTAAGATGAAAGGGAACTTTCTGTACATATTTTATTAGAATTTATCGGTCATGTTAAAGAAAGATAAAGAAGGGCAACTGCTTGAATTCATCATTCCTAAGACCTTCCATTTATAGCTGTGAAATGACCAGAGGGAAGAACATTTCACCGTATTGTAAGTTATGGTAAAAGCTGCCACAGAGAATGGCAAGGGGCAGTTCATATAATAAAACACATTCTGTGGGAAGAGAAGCTGAAGTGAGTAATAGGTCATCTACCTTGAATGGGCATGGCGATAAATAAAAGGGACTTTCTTTCTAAAAACACTGACGGGCATCTCATTCCAAATACAAATGAAAGGCATGAAATGGACTGCTCTTACCAAAGGGCCCAAAAAGCTAGAGAGAGGTGTAAAGGCTGTATATGCACAGCCAGTAAGGCAAGGTCAGTAAAGTATGTGAAGAGAATTGTACTGAGGGAACTTTCAGAAAATTTGAGGTTGTTATCTGCCGTCAGGGCTATTGGACACCCAGTGTAGGTGTAATGGCTCAGGATGCAGGAGGAAAATTTTCCAAAGTAGAGAAAAGAAATTTCCCAAGCACCATTAAAATTGTTTCTAGACACCTGGCAGTAACGTGGCAAGACCAAATGAAGATGACGCAGGCAGTGTAAGCAGGGAATTTAGGAATGAAAGTAACTGATCATGTATCAGGAGGCATGAAGACATGCCAGAGGGAATGAAGCCAGTTGCCCACAGTTTAGCATCCAGGTTAACTGAAATTTAAGCCAAAGCTTTCTTTATGGGTGGAGTATTTATAAAGCCCCTGCTTTGTGTTCACTAGTTTCTAGTGAAGAGGGAACTCTGCTGCAGCCTGCTGTCATCTGTCTCCTCTGATCAGCAGCTCATTTTCATAAAACTTGTGGGAACTGAATAGCTTTGACACTGTCAGACTGAGATGAAAATGATCATTTTGTCAAAAGGAATTGAGGGATGGGGAGGGGAAGAGAGAGCCATGCGCAGACATATATCCACACTCGGGCAGCGTGATCCTGTGTTTCCTGAGGAAGCCAGGCTACAAGATAGAGGTCCAAACAAGGGTGAATGATGCTCCTTTCTCTTTTTATCTCTTGACTGTACTTCTGACCAGGCTCACACTGTTAATCTTAAGATTTAGAACACTGTCCTAAATTTAAAGTTGACTTGCGGGGGCAGAGGTGACTGTGATTTGTAAATAGAAGGAAATGAGCCCTGGCCTTTAGCTGGCACAGCACAGATTAACAATCAATAGTCCATCAGGACAGATAAATCACAAAAGCCAAGTCAAATCCTGTACAGTTAAAGGCCAGATGGATGGTCCAGATCCAGGACTGTACCTTGGGTGGAAGGCAGGATGGCTGCTCCTCTCTTCTGCGGATTTCTGACATGAGGGCTGGCAGTTGGTCCTGATAAATAATGCACAGTCCTTGAAAGAGGCAGCTGGGATGTGAAAGGGAGAATGGAGAGGCAAAGGCTCCTGGTCAGGCTGTGTAGGAGGAGCGTGGCTTTACGACAGCTCCTGCAGTGAGGACAGACCTATGGCTGTACGGGGCACACGGGGCGGACTGGAAGACCCAGCCGGTTTTGGGGCAGGAGCCTGCCCAGTGCCACAGCAGGGCAGCCTGGAGAACGGAAATGAAGGACGGGTGATTCAGAGAAGTTGTCATTGCCCTGAGCTCTGATCCTTGTACTATGGGCTCTTGTCCTTCGGTGCAGCTGCAGCCGTGCGTTCCCTTCCACGGGCTGCCCGGTTCGGGGCTGCGGCAGCTCCAAGGACCCTGCCCTGGCAGGAGGGACAGCAGCCCCGCAGCCCAGTGGTTGGCATGGCACAGCTGAGGCGTTTCAAAGCAGGTAGAGCTGAGCGAGAATCAGGTTGTTGATAACACAGATTTCTGACAGAGTGGATTTGTAGTGTTACCCAGACTAGCAAGTAATGGCAGCAGCCTTACAATATCACCCTTACTCAGAAAATGCTTGTCCTGCATACCTGTCGCGTGTTTGAACTCAAAGTGGTGCCAAAAAGAAAAGAGAGGCAGAGTCCTCCAAGAAGATTGCATTGAACCTATCTGTCCACTTAACGTCTGAGCGGGGGAAATTTTGTCAGCTTAGAAGTTTACCAGTATTGCACTTTCTCAAGAGAAAACGTTCATAACGTGCCAAAATGCACTTGCCTGTGATTCTACCCCTGTATTCAGCTGGAGCAGACAGTCAGCATTTGGTGCAGCTCAGATCTGAATCATGAGAGGAATGAAAGTTTTATAAACCCCAGACTCAGCTGGGATACCACATAGGCAGGCAAGCCCTGGCTGACACACGTGGCAGTTACCTGTCGTGAGTGGAAGGTTGTCACCAAGCACCTGTGTGGTTAGCAGCCGCGTGCAGTGCGTGCACATCCACACACGCTTGTGGTGGGAGCAGGAATACAGACAGCCAGAGCAGACACACCCCTGCTGTTTCATCGTCGTAAAAGGCTCCTGCGGCTTTTCCCCTTGCTAAGGTTGGAGTACAGAAGTGCCGAAGAATAAAAGCAGCGCTCTAGCTCGTGGTGCACAGCCCTGGAGCAGCGGGAGTGACATTTACAGCTGACATCAGATCTGAGTGTTTGCATTGGATTTCAGTGTCAGCGGCAGAGGTGTGGCTTAGCAGGGACACTGTTTCAGTCTTCTGATCCAGCTAAGAGGCAGCTCCGTCTGAGAAGATACTCACTCCCCTCGTCTCTGCTATCCTGCTTGCATCTGACTCCTCCCTCCTGCAGCGCAGAACAGCACAGGGTGAATCCGGCAGCGTCTCGTTTCTACTATGTTTCTCCCTGAGCTACTAGAGCTTGAACATACCTGATACTCTGCCTTCGTTTCAGTGGAACTCGTGAGTAAGGCACATTGCCTGATATCTGTCAAAAGTGAATGGCATGTTATTACCTGAAGAGCCTAAATTAATCATCTTCCAGTACTGAACGGATTCCAAAGAATCACATTTTTTTCAGCACCTTTGATGCTTCATTGTTGCCTGATTTTTCGAGAGCATGAGTTGTTCTGATTATCAAGGGTGCTTTCACCTGAAGTTTTCTTCATCAGATGCCACAAAAGAGGAAAACAAAGAAACTTGTGATGTGGACCTAGCAGTTCTGGTTTCAGCTAGTGAAAACTTGCAGAGTCAGTGAGAAGGCAAAGAAAAAAATTTGCCAAGGACAATGTCGGTAACGCCTAGTAATTTGTCCCTCAATGGGACAAGCTTCTTCGCTGAAAATCATAGCATTATGGATAAGCCTAGCAAGCAGAGAACTTTGAATGTGCTTCTGTTCTGCTTGACTTTTATCATTGCATTCATAGCACTTCTGGGCAGCATTTATTCACTAGTTTCCCTACTGAAAATGCAAAACAAAACCACGGTTTCAATGATTGTGACCTCTTTGTCAGTAGATGATTTGATCAGCATTGTGCCAGTGATTATTTTCATGCTCACCCAGTGGTCAAGTGATGTCCTCCCCCAGCCTTTGTGCACCATCTCAGCCCTTGCGTATTTATGCCAGGGCGTTTCTGGCAACCTGAAAGGGTCTCTTATAGTTTCTTACAACTTCTACACCATCAACAGAACTGAGACAACGAGCTGCAGCACTCCCAAGCGACGAGTGAGCATGGTATGGGCCATTCTTATCGTTTGGATTGTCAGTTTGCTGATCTGCATTTTGCCTCTCTGCGGCTGGGGCAAGTACATCCCCACCTCCTGGGGTTGCTTCACTGACACTGCCAGTTCCTATGTCTTGTTTTTATTTGTTGTCTACTTGCTGTGCTTTTGCCTCCTCACAGTGCTGTCTGTTCCTCTAACTTACCAGCTGTTGTGCTCGGATGAGCAACAGCTGTTACACATTGATTACCAGGAGATCTCTGGAGGCTGCATCACCCCTGGGACACCTGCAGGCTGCAGTACTGCCACCCCGTCTCTGTCACCAGTGGACCCTGTGGATAAAACCCTGAAGCATTTCCAGAACGCGTGTCCAGGCTCGGAGGCAGTTTTTAGGAAAGGTGTGGCTGAGAGCAGTGCACTCGAGCCCGGCTGTGTGAACAGCATACAGAGCAGGAGCTTCACGGTGGGCTTTGCTCAGAAACGGTTCTCGCTGATTCTTGCATTGACAAAAGTCGTTCTCTGGCTTCCAATGATGGTAAATTGTCAGATTGCTTTACTTTCTAACGTTTACTGACATTTAAATGGGATGTAGGTTGGTGTGCCATGTACTGAAACAGATGAACAGTAGTCCTTGCAGTTATTCCTTGTAGTATAGTTTGTGCCAGCAAAAGTCCTCTGAAGCAGGTGTGTGTCGCTGCATGAACTTAACTGGCTTTCCGCAGGCTTGGCAGAGCCGGATTCCTCAGTGTGGTACTCTGTCATCACATCATTTGTATTGTCTGCATACAGGGATGAGTAAAGTCCACCCGTTTGTGTTGCCAGCTGTCTGACAAGCATTTGTTCAGCATTGTTCAGCGAATTGTGCTAAGCTAGCTCTTCTGCCTTCCTCCCAGCTGGGAGTCACGTCCTGTGCCAGGCTGCTTAAAAAACAGGGATTTGTCAGAAAGATGCGGTTTGCTTGCATCTGTGTAGCCTCTGTAGCTCTGGGGGGGTGCAGGGTTTGGGAGGGAGGGCTGGCCATGTGCCTGCACTAGTGTATTTGGGAACGGGTAGGTTCGTGTGTAATTAGAAAGGAGCCTGTTGAGAACACGGACTGTGGGTCTGGGGCAGTGTTATCCCTTCC